GAGTATGTTTTACAAGAAAATTCCATTTTACGTTTAATTCCGTGTGTTACTTGCCTTTTTTTGTAGGCTACTAGCAGTTTGTGAGTGAAAACTGTTTCAAAGTAAATTTGAAACAGTTTTGGAGTGTACATTTTTGGAGTGTATGAAAATCAGAATTTAATGTAATAGATTAAAAGGTTCTAAAAATGAAGCATTTTTAACAAATTCTTAACGTAAACGTAACAAAAGATGTACAAAACTGTGTAGCACCGCATATGATGAGATTAGATCGAAAAATTTGGTAGAATATAGACATACTGGATTATAGGTGTCACATAAAATATATCTTACAGTAAATTCAGTTGTATACAAAAATATTAGTATGAGAATGTAGGAAGACCCACTTGATTACATCATTTCCAGTGTTTGATGGTGGTGAGAAACCACTGCTAAGCACATTTCCCATTATTTCCATTTCCTTGCGAACACTGATGGTGCATCTCTCTCCAGGATTATGGGTTGTGTAGTTCTTCAACAGGAATTTGACTCATAAACATGATAGGTTTAACAGAAGCTTATATCACCACTGAACGACCTCAGGACTCGTATGACAAGGGAAATAAAGAACAGATGTTAAAACAGCATCGAGTGTTTCTGCCATTTGAATACTGTGTCATTACTACAGCCAGAGCCCTATACAATGATGAAGGCCTGTTCTAGTGTTCCCATGTGATCAAGATAGATTCATTGAGAGCGAGTATGTGCAAAATAGATGATGAATCATAGAGAGAAGGTGTAGCAGACCTAAAGAAACATCTCAAATGGTATAATAATTCAGCTAGGTTTACGGTCCATGAAAAATTACATTTCTTGGTGTGAAACACGCGTTCAGTGTTGTCTATGGGATAGTTGGCAATAGCCATGGTGCAAATGTAATAATTTAGGGATTGAACAGTGAATATTGTGTGATTAATAATTAATTATAATAATACTGTGTTAACCTGTGTCACTCACACTTATCATAATGTATGTTTCATTAAGTTTCAAAACCTGGCTTCCGTCTCTATTACAGTGAAAGAAAGGTAACCTAAAAACAGTAACATCTAAAATCACTGGTTTTAGTCAAGTCAAAACTATTATTTAACATCACTTAATCAACCTCTATACATCAATTTATACCATCAAAGCTCATTTTGATCGGTTGAATCAGGTAGAAATAGCTCTTTAAGGTAACAATTGCAGATTACCACTTTTTAGAGTGTATTTTAAATGTCTTTTAAAGATTATCATCTTGACAACTTTAATGTCTTAAAAATCTAAAAATCTGTTTATAAAATCAATAAACTCAACAGGACAAACATTCATGTTACATTGTGTGTCCCACTTTATATTAGGTGCCTTTTACTACTATATACTTATCTCAAAAGTTTGGTGGTACGGTTAGGTTTAAGAGTTGGTTCAAGTGTAGAGGGAGGGTCAACAGTGTTTATTATAGACAACTACAGAAATCAATTACAGATGTAATTACATGCAGGTCATTTTAAAATATTAGTACAATGTAAAAACATACAAAATAAGTACATTGTATATATTGTTTAATTGAAATATAAATACATAGAAGATTCTTCCCATTTTTGTGACAGAATCCAGTTCTGAACCATAAATGAACCCTGTGTCAACCAGCGACAAAATGCCAAGGGTCTTCTTCAAGCTGGCTTCAAACTCTTACACTTATTGTTTCTTTACCTCTTTCCTCATTTTCTCTTCCATTTGCCATTACCACTTTCTCTTTTTCACTTGCTCAGTCTGTTTGGCCGGCTCTAATCTTGTTAGGCAGAGAACAGCTTTTTTAGTGATTAGAGTTGGTCATCCGGTGAGTTTTATTGGCTGGCAAATGGTGCATATCATATACATTTATCAGGAACAATTGGTCTGGCTAAGAGGGCTGCTCGCCTCACCTGACAGCAGAGATAACAGAGATAACAGAGAGAGAGAGAGAGAGAGAGAGAGAGAGAGATTGCTCTGGTTGACAACAAATTACAGATGGCATCAAAGGAAATTATTGATTTGTTAATTCAGCAGGCTCTAATTGAAAACTATCAGCTTGATTTTCAGTATTACATGTTAATTATAGAATTAGTGTGCACCTTTTACCAATCATTGTGTCTGATCACAATCATTAAAGCATTGTGGGATTTAATTGCTCAGATGAAGATACCGCTACAGCCAATAGATAACCCATATAGTTTTCACTTAATCAAATGTTTCCATTGTTACTGTTAGAACAGACTGACAGGCATCACCTTTCTGGGCAGGCGCGTGTGTGTGTGTGTGTGTGTAGTGTGTGTGTGTTGAAGCTCTCAGAGTAATTGCTTTCATCACACTAGAGTCAGATGTGGCCAGGTTAAGCCACGAAGCTGTGATCCAGAACTGATCCACAATGAAAATGTGTTTTCATCATGTTCCGACAAGGATAAAACATCAACTGACATCTTTATGTTGCATATATTTGTTGGCCTTTGGCTTTCTTGGATTATAGTGTTAGCAAACTATGTATCAGTCATTCTGGGGTATTTTTACATAACCTCTTCATTTTACATAACCACTCTTATAAATAAAGGTTAAAAAAGGTTTGTTTGTTTTTTTGCAGTGATGCCAAGGTTCTCCAAAGAACCTTTCAGTGATCACGTCTTAAAAGAACCATTTTTTTCTTAATGAATACCATTTTAATCATCTAAGGAACCTTTTTTCCATTATAAAGAACATTTTGCGGAATGGACAGATTCCGTGGATGTTAAAGGTTCTTCATGGTACCATGAATGCCAATAAAGAACCATTATTTTTAAGAGTGAGGAATAATAATAATTAAGAAGGAATGTGAACAAAAGGACTGTCATGTTTGATTATTTGTTCACGTTATACAATCAAAATGAATGAATAATCTCCCATAATAAAATACAGATGATTCTGATGGAGAAATGAGCTGATTTGCTGGGTAGTGAAATGAAATGCTGCAACAATTCCAGTCATGACTTCCAGAATTTGTCAGTGATCATCTAAAAATATTTGTCATTAATTAACAAATGAACAATAATAAGATGGGTGTGTATTTTAAATGAGACTTTTTATTTATAGCTCTTTGTGTTTACTTTGGAAACCTCTCAACATCAAATGAATTACACAATACTTTGACAAACACTAATATACACTAATATAAACTCCGTTTAACAGAAGATCATTCTTTGACATTTGTGCTACTTTTCCATATCCCAACTACTACACACACACACACACACACACAAAACGTACACACTGAAGAGATTTCCAATGCCCATGTTCAGTGATGTGCAGGTGAGAGCAGTTGTGCATTGCAGAGTTTCTGCGCAGCCCTTCCAGGACACTGCGGTTCAATTAAATCTCAGAGGAGTGGCACGAGTGTGTGTGTGCGTGTGTGTGTGCGGCAAGAAAACAAAAGATCAGGCCCATCACTTGTATCACCATCTTTGTAAAGAAGTGGATTTAATTCACAGTATATCATCCATCTTCATTTTCATTCAGTTTACACATGTACCATCCTCAAAACCACAAGGACTGGAGGCTCAGAAAGGAACAGTTTGCCGTTTTCTGCATTCACTTCATGCAAGGCCCTTTTTATCAATATGCAGATTGATCAGGATAAAATTACAATGTATATGAGGTACTGCGACATTACACGCTCATACCCTCGTTTGCTCTCAGATGATGGAGCTCCGAGGAGAATCGCCTCCTAAAAACAGAAAAAACGGATCTCTTGATTTGTGTACCTGCAGTAATGGCATCCCATGCTAACGTGTTTGGTCATATCAGGCCTGCAAACAAGACATTTTTTTGTTGGTTTTAACTGCAGCGGAGGCATCTCAGCGTGCACAATGCATCTCAAGAGTCTCTCCGTCTGTGGGTTTGCAGCACACGTGAATGCCTAACCTCTCACATGATGTATGACACATCACAGCATGCAGAATTACATTCATACATAACCCAATCATTTTGTCATTTAGGAGGAGCTGTAAAAACACCAGGTCGGCTCTTGCAGAAAATGCACGGGAGAGAATGAGAGACGGTGAGGGAGGGGAGACTGCAGTACATATAAGGCAAGAGAGATACGAGTTCATGTTTTATTAAAGCTTTGTCACGTCCAGTACAGTCCTTCGGCTCTGGTCTTTCGTTTCTCAGTAAGGACCACAAAGATGTAAAAATCTCTGGAGTCCTGGAATGCTTATCCAAGGAGAGAGGAATTACCGAGAGAAAAGGGAAGATTTTTCCCGTCCCAACCGCCCGTCCCTTCTCATGACACCAAATGTCCGTCCTCCCCAGGGTCGTCCCGTCAGGTTTGATCCGAGACGGTCTGTCACAAACTGTTCTTTATCCTCTGTGACCTTCAAAACATGTCAGTTCTTAATCTATACAGGGGGTGGGGTGACATATCAACACTCGAGCGAATGCCGCATAGATTTCATCCCCTGAAATTGTCCAGATTCTCTTGAATATAAGTTCTTAAACATGCAATACTTTCCCTTCAAGCTCAGAAATGCAGAGAACGTCTTCTCTCTGTGCACGCATTTGCTTGTCATAAATATATGGTAGCATAACCATAAAGAACCATTCAAAGAGGAGAAACAAAATTACATCTTAAACGTTAAACGTTAAACAATAATGCACCGGAATTTGCTTCTGAACAAGGCCTTAAACCAGTTTATAATGAAAGCACACGCCTGTTTAAACACACTTGCATTGTCATCAAGAGAGGAAGAGATACAGCAGGCGTGGGCTTTAATAGTACATGAATCCTAAAACAAACTATTCGGCTTACAAATATTGCTGGAACTGCTGGGTGAAAAACCAGCACCAGAGCACAAAACATTGCTGAACCATTGTTCTGTCATTTGTTAGCAAGAAAGGACGGCTGTCCTGTGTAGAAAAAGACCAGCACTTTATTCCCATCTGGCCATTTTTCATATTGAAAGCGTAATGCATTATGTCATTTTCAGTTCATTTACAACAAATAGAGCTAACAGCATGTCTGGACGCATTAAGCATAATTCAAGCAATAAATCTGCTTTATGGATATGGTTATATTCTTCAGAATAGATTTTATATGTATATATGCATATATTTATATACAAGTATGGCACCTGATTACACTTAAGCGCGAAAAAACACGTCACAAATGAAAGCAGAGGGCGCTTTGGTGTTGAAATTAAGGAAATCATCACAGACTTTAAGTGTTTGCAGCAAATTCACCCCTGCTCACACACACACACACACACACGATTCGCAATGGAGTTCATCACACAGCCTACGTTAAGGTCAATGGTGCGGTACAGGCAACCAAAAAGAAAGAAACCATAGCAGAAGCGATAGTGTTTGATACATGAATGGTGTGTCGAGACTCCCGATGTGCGATATTATGTCAGCATCACGTTCACTTTTTAGTGCAAGACGCATTTACTCCCTTCAAGTACAGTAGAGCAGCTGGTTCGGTCACACTTCACATGTCAGTGCTCATGTCACAGCAGTTGTCGTGGAGCCGCTTGTAGTTTACTGTAATGAATCATATAGCATGCATTGTGTGCAACAGGACAGTGTCATGTCAAGTGTCACCGCAGCTTACAGAGAGGCATTACGCATTCAGATATCAGCATTTGCTCTTTGTGTACGTCTCAGAGTACAAACGTTGCATAAAAAGTTGCATTATACAGTAGTGAACTGCTTTACAAACGTGTTTGTCGTCCACAGTTGCCAATGGAGTCTTTAAAACAGTAACAAAAAAGTCCTACCCCGTGTTCTTGCAATTCATGAACCTTACGTGGCGACGGGACTCGTCCGCGGTCTCGAACTCGACGGCGCGCGGGCTTCGGGTTCTCGTTACGCACCCGTTACACGTAGGCGGAGTCACTGGACTGAGTGCGGCCGAAATTGGGCATACTCATCCGGGGCAAATCCTTGTTCCGGATCTCGTAGATGGACTTCCTGCGGGCCCGCACGCCCCTCACGGCCGTTTTGATCTTCCTCCAGCCCAAGTGATTGAGCTCGGCCAGATTGAGGACCACGCAAAAGCCACTGACCGCGAACATGAAGACGAGGAACACGGTTTTCTCCGTGGGTCTGGACACGTAACACTCCACCTCTTTGATGCACGGGTATCGATCACACTCGTACACGGCGGGCACGTTGAATCCGTACAAGAAATACTGGCCCACCAGAAAGCCGATTTCCAGAGCGTTTCTGAACACCACCTGGATGATGTAAAACCTGGAAATGCCCTCCTGCCGCCTCATTTTGGACTTGCCCGGTTTTGTGCCCGAGCTGGTCAGTTCTTTGGTCTCTAGGCAGTCGGGCTCGGCTTCTTTGGTGGTGTTCTCCGTGTTCTGCAGTACTCCGTTCATGATGGTGTTCTTGATCTTTTGGTTCTTGGCCTCCTCTCGTTTTAGGGAATCCTGCTCCTTATTATCGAGAGAGAGGAGGAGGCTTATGGCATCAGTGCCGTGGAGAGCCCTGCTGCGTCATATGGCGCTTTATGTCGAACTGCCAAAACGCGCGGAATTCATTTGTGTGATGTTCATACGCTGGGAATAAAGCCGGATTCGGTCCGGTGATGGTGAACTCATGTCATGGTGAGGAGAGCAGAGGTGACCTCCTCCTTTTTTTATTTGGGGGACTTAAGTCTCATACTTGTTGCTGTGTATTTTGAAAGGCAACACAGCTGTTGGAGAGCAAATGTCCTTGAGTACAGTGAGGATCTTCAGCTCCGCCCTGTTCACACGAAGCAGCAGCGCTCGTGCTCTGGATACAGTGGGGTGAAAGCGTCAGCTGATTCTCTGTTTAAGTAAAGACACTTTTGGCCCCGCCCATCGAACGCCCGTAGACATGCGCAGTTCCGCCAAACCATCTTTTTTTGCAGTTTGACAGTTTTAAGGGACTACAGTGGCCCCAAAACGTATTTGCTCACTTTGACAACCACACAGCGTCACAATAATTCATGCCACAATATTTGATGTCTTTGCAAGTGTGCTTGAGATATTTAAAATAAATGCCACTTGCACATAGGACACTTTTCTTTTAAGACAATATGCTAATTTGATTAACAGGGGTTAGTTAAGGGCATTTGGCTAATCTAAAATATTTGAATACACAATTTATATTGTAATCTTGGTGATCGCTACTGCTAAAAAGGTTTAATCAGAGATTATTGAGATGACAATATTTTGAAAGACCTTTGATCAAAATGTAATTCTGCGGTTTCATTCATTGAGTGATTTTAGTAGGAAAGATGGAGACACCATGTTACACTGACCTCAGTGAAACAGGTTCAAGTGAAGTCTGCAAGAACAAGTGACACACCAAATGGCACAGCAAAAATAATGACTGTTTTCAAACGGGTTTCCTAAACACTCTCCCACCAGCCACACAAACGCATAGTCCCGCCCAAAACGCACACTATTGTCATGCTGATGGCTGAACAACAATGATTTCATTGTTAGTGCCAATAATGCATAAAGTGTGCAAAAAGACAAAAATGAATATTTGTACAAAGCTGACAAAATCAGACCAGCAGAAGAAGACTGTAGATTACATTCTTCCCTACTAAAATAAAAATGGCAAGTTTCAACACCAGCCCCATTCTGACATCAGGAAAAGGGAGAGATGAACAGCTCAGCACGAGAGAGAACAGCATCCTCACATCATGAATCTACCTGGAATATTCAATGAAACAACCGATTGTGCACGAAAAAGGGTGATGAACTGGATCAATATGTTACAAGCTAAGAAAAAGAGTAATCCCTCCATTCTGAGTGATTTGCTTGGTTCATATATCATTGAAGTCAGTAAATCACATATTACAAAAAATCTGAAATGCTTACTGGTCTTTTTTAAACAATCACTGCTGAATAATACAGATGCAATAACAAACTTAAGAATATTTTTTAAGAAAATGGGCATGAATCCATATACACACAGTCAGGAGGGTTGTTCTGTATGTGTGAGGGTTAAATGAGAAAAGCAGTGTGGGGTTCATCACATATGGCAGAAGCACAGCGAGGCATTCAGGCCTTTTTCCATCCTTGATCTCACACACAAATTAAATATTCAGAGGCCCAGTCCAACCACTGCGGCTGTCAAATGTGCTTCCTCCACCACATGCTGCGAGGCAGCCCTGTGTGTACGGCCTGTGCTGCCAGCACAAACTTGAAATTAAAACCAGGCAATTTTGGCTGGTGAAGGCTCCCCTCAGGACTGCAGGGAGGAAGAGAGAGAAAGACAGAGAGAGAGAGAGAGAGAGAGAGAGGCTGTGCACAGGCAGAGGAACTGGGTCTTGTGCGGCCATCACATTATTAACAATCAAAAAAGAACAAGCTTCGTTTTATTTATTGTTTATGAACAGACAGACAGACAGACAGACAGATAGATAGATAGATATCATAACATAGTATCTTCTTTTTGATATTGCAGACGAATCTGTCTGACCTCTGCATAACTTGGGGATGTGCTAATCGCCTTCCTGATATTATTGATCTTCTCAGAAAAGAAGGAAGCAAACTCATTGCATTTGCTGTCGGAGAGCATTTCACTGGGAATCGGACTTGGGGGGTTTGTCAGTCTCTCAACAGTAGCAAAAAGAGTGCGAGTGTTGTTTAAGTTACTGTTTATAAGGTTTGAGAAGAAAGTGTCTAGCTCTGGCTAGCTGTGGCATACATACAGGCAGATAGACAGAAAGACAGATAGACAGACAGACAGACAGATAGATAGAGGGACAGACAGACAGACAGACAGATAGACAGACAGACAAACAGATAGATACAGGGACAGACAGACAGACAGACAGACAGATAGATAGATAGATAGATAGAGGGACAGACAGACAGACAGATAGATAGATAGATAGATAGATAGATAGATAGACAGAGAGACAGACAGACAGACAGACAGATAGAGGGATGGACGTATGTACGTACATACATATATATAGAGGGACGGACGGACATGCAGGCATGTGATAAACAGAATCTGTGATAGACAGATAGAGGGATGGACGTACGTACGTACAGAAAGATAGAGGGGTGGACGGGCAGGCAGGCACGCACACACGTGGACGGACATACATACATACATACAGACAGACAGAGAAATAGGCAGACATACAGACATGCATACAGACATACATACAGACAGAGAGAAATAGGCAGACAGACAGAGAAATAGACAGACAGACAGACAGACACACACACACACACACACACAGAGAGAGAGAGAGAGAGAGACAGACAGATAGAGAAATAGGCAGACAGACAGACAGACACACACACAGAGAGAGAGAGAGAGAGAGACAGACAGATAGAGAAATAGGCAGACAGACAGACAGACACACACACAGAGAGAGAGAGAGAGAGAGACAGACAGATAGAGAAATAGGCAGACATACAGACAGACAGATGTGTGACTCTGGTCCTGCAGAGGGCAGCACTGAATGAGCTGCTGGAGCTCTGAAGGTTTCTCTGGTTACATTGTATGGCTCTGCAGTTCCTCACGGTTCCTGAAGTCTCACTAATCTGACACCTCAGTCTCCAGTTACTGCCTCCATCCAAACTCAGCACAATCCAGTGTGAACTCACATTGCCTCTCATATCCTGAACCTCCAGATAAAAGAGGGCTCTGATTCTTCAGACATGAGACTAAACATGTCCCATAACCTGCCACGGGATTTTAAAATAGCAACATTTCCACTTTAATATTCATCAGAGATGATCACTATTCTCAGCACAAATGTACCATTTCATCATCACTCATCCCTCCTAAAACAACCTGCCCTCAGAGCATCACTTAGTACTTATAAAAAATAAGAAAAAAAAATCATGCAAGTTTTCACAGCTTGCCCTCTAATCAACACCATCAGATATTTACTAAATCATTAATAAAATCAGGGGATCTTCAGGATATTCCAAGCCATGTTTCAGCAGCTATGAATTCAACAACACACAGGCTCTGAAGAGATTCATAATTTCCTAGTTAGAAACACCAGAAACACAAAATGGTTGCATGTGTGGTGTCTAAACACATTTCATGTAGACACATTTCTTTGGTAGACCAGTGCAATTTTAGTTTAAAAGTACAGTTTTAGGGGGCTAAAAAAATGAAAAACCTTTTTTGGCCATTCATTTAAACGGCAAGTGTTTTGGGGCCGGAATGCAAATCTTTGAAAACTGGTTTAAAAGTGCAAGTTTTTCTATGTAAACTACAAAAATGTGAATTTCTGAAAACAGTTGTCATGCGCACGAGTATTACGTGTTCAGTCTTTAGAAAGAGACATCACCAACTACTGGCCTGGCATGAATAATACAGCGGTTTTAATCATTTTCTCAGATCTCAGATGCAGCTGTGCGTAGTTTATTTTATTTCAAGTAACAATTTTTTTTATGCTTTTGGTTTTAGGTATGCTACAGTACATGGAGCTGAAAATCTTAAAATCAGTTTATTCATTAATCTGTGAATAATGTGAATGTAAGGGTTCTAAATATAAATATTTGACATGACAGTACACATTATTTTTCGATTAGATTGTGTTGACATTGATTTAAACAGAATAATGTGTTGATACAATCAGTCACTTCTGCAGATTCAGTGCCTGAAACTGATGGTTTTGTCCCATGTATGGAGATTCAGCAGCTGGTTTTGAAGCACTGCATTTAACTTGACTAAACCAAGTAAGACACATGAAGTTTCTAGAGAGGATAGCTTAGCTTAGAAAACTTGTCCTGTAATATAAATATACTCGTGTGTTTCATCACCTTGAACACAGACATCAGCACCAGAATACTGAAAGAGTATTTTAATTTTTCATAATCAAACAGCCTAAGAGATACAGATACAGAGAGGAAGTTTCGCTAAGGCTTTATGGAAGCGTTCTAGTCAAAGAATCAAATGCACAGTAAACTGTCTAAAACAGTTTGTGTTGATAATTAACACTGCTTAAGTGAAAAGATGGGGAAACTGTGGACTCTTCTTGGCGGTGAGCTGAAGGGCTCGTGGTCTCAGCACAGTGCTTTGCCGTGCCTCATGTTCTGGGCACACTTTCGGCCCAGATTGGCCCCCTCCATCAGCAGGTCGGCCAGCCGGTCCAGACCTACGCAGACAGTGAGAGGGGCGATGAGGCCGTACAGACCCCCCAGCATAATGCTCAAGGGCCAGCCAAGAACCAGCAGCACCAGCAGCCAGACGATGCCCCAGAAACACGAGCCACACGACGACATCTGCTGCAGGAACAAGTGACACAGAGCTTTTTAACATTTCTTCACACACTACTCTTTTTTTCAAAGTCAGTGCATACTTTACCAAGCAGCACTGCTCTCCAGAGAAAGAATTTGGTTTATAATTAGGATGTAAACACACTCCTGCCTTCAGAATATGAATACATCTCTGCAACAGAGTGTCAGTGCCAATGAGAGCAGTAATTAGGAGAGAGTGAGCTCAGATACATCACCCCCTTAAAGGAATAGTTCACCCGAAATTGAAAATTTGCTGAAATCTACTCGCTCTCAGGTTATTCAAGATGTAGATGAGTTTGTTTCTTCATCAGATTTGGAGAAATGTAGCATTGCATCACTTGCTCACTGCAGGTGAATGGGTGCCGTCAGAATGAGAGTCCAAACAGCTGATAAAAACATCACAATAATCCACAAGTGATCCACACCACTCCAGTCCATCAGTTAATGACTTGAGAAGACAAAAGAAACAAATCCATCATTAAGATGTTTTTAACTTCAAACTGTTGCTTCTGGCTAAAATATGAGTCCTCTATCAATAATAACACTTCCTCCAGTGAAAAAGTG